GATTATCTACTGTCCCGCACTTACCATCTAGTGCGTGTTACCTTGCTCAGACTATCAATTCCTAATCATATACTCACTGTTCTCCCGTCTTGTTTCTCCAGTGCAGTGCTAGGTATGGTTGTCCATTACAGATTCGATCACGAACAAAGTCGGTCACTTTAGTGATAATGGGTGTTCGTTTAAGATTTTTGTTTACTAATTTGGACATGCTTTCTTTATTTGGAATGCTCAGGCCATGATCTCTTGCAAAGTTGTACGAATACTGGATTCCTATACATTTTGTTCGACTAGATGATATTAATCTTTCCCATGTTTCTTCTTCGCTTTGTACAATATGGTCTTCACCTGGCATATCAATGTCAAGTAGACGTTTAAAAGCAATTTTATCTGTGAGATAGGCACGCTGAAAATGATAGAACTGATTATCGTTGGTATGTGTACCATGCACAATTGTCTCGATTGTGCTGCCACATTCGCGTTTAAACTCTTCGACGGTTGCCAGGGGAACAATTTGACTTAGCTTCCCCTCGTCGAATGTCTGGTTGAAGTCGACTAAGTCGTCGCTTCGGTGTTTCAAAAACGGTGTCAGTACAAGTGTTCTGTTGAGGTAGATTGCGAAACGGGCTGCGATTTTCACGTGCTTGTATTCATAATTTGGTCCACCACCGGTCAATCCAATCGGCATGATGTAACGTTTACTTTTGGTTTGTGTAACAACCTGGTGTGAAGGAGTAGAAATTGTGTCACGTCGATATTAGGTAAAGTGAGTTGTGTTGTAATGTGACGTGGTTTGGTTTCCTTTACGAACTTCTAAAGAAAGTAAACTCTAAATACTCATATGACATAGGCGAATGGAAAAAAATAATCATCATACTCTCGCAATTTCTCTGTAGCATGGTTACCAGAGTACTCTACACGTATGATTGCACACAACAAGGTAATTCTGTATGTACACAATACAATACTCACATTTATCTCACGCTTAGCCGTCGTCGTTAATATACCAATATCTGTAGTAGTTGTTTCCAAAGCTATGTCGGGACCAGTGTAACGATGTACAATTTTTTGGGGTCTGTGAATTGGTGTCGTCATCAGAAGGAAACTGATGGCGAAAATCATAGTCGTAGTAGCCGTGATGACAACACCGGAAACAGTAACGTATAACCTCCAAATCCTCATGTTCAGAACACCAGAATGGATCAATTATCAGCTACAATAACCCGGTAATCATTATGCCCACATCAGCTATAAAGGTACACAGTTGTGTGTGTATTATTTGAATCTAGTTGGCTGCTGGAAATGGTGTAACAGATATCATTGTACGTTCATTAAATCATTTTTGAGAGCGGCACATGCGCAGATGAGGTTATAATGTCACAGCTGTTGCCTTTATAGTGAACTATTTTTTTACTAAACTGGCTGGGATTAGAGTTGAATAAATAAAATGGTATTTGTGAATACGATTACATTTCTGTTTCTGTTTCAAAATAAATGTTCAGTTTTAAAATTTTCTAAGACATGCTGGGGAATTACGTAGACAAATAGTTTGCAAATCATATGCAAATGTACATATCAGTTTAGTTATTCCATTATTATTTATATGTTTTTTCTTGAGAATTACCATGATATTAAAATCAAATTCGCAAAACTAATATCACCACCAGCAGCAATCAAAATAAATTGAAAAAAAAAAAATCTAAAATCGTAGATGGCAGAAACCTTTTTCAGTGAACTACCCCTGTATGCAGTGACCACTTAGTATAAATGTGCGATGCGGTCACTGCGGCTAACTGATGAATAACTGACAGATACTATTATGTTTAAGCATTACTAAATGTGATTTATTATTGACAACGACTTACGATTCGCCCAATTTAGGCGACAGGCGTATTCGTAACTGTTGTAGCATTAAAATAATGTTGCAGCAGATTTGTTAGGATAAACTATTTCAAAGGATTCACGCCAACACAGAAAAGCCAAAGCGATATAACGCAGTTCTCGTCTGCGCACGTTGTCCATGTTCGATCTGTTTTAGCCACTGAACCATGTTAAACCAAGTGTATTAGGCAAAAGCGTTAGACCAGTGATTCCATATGCTTTCAAAGATTTGTGGAATAATGTTACTGTAAAAGTAAGTTTATCAGTTACACGCACTGGTTTCCATGGGTAACTAGATATGAGTAGGATAATTCTTATTAGAATAATATACGTAATAATTATACAAATATGTATTCGTTTCTGATTTTACATGGATTGAGAAATCATTAAGTTATGGTGTACACGAGAATCGTTAGTAATATTCAACAGCGCCACCACCGACTAAGAACGATTGCGCCACCGTTAAAGTCGATGAAAATGTTATTTCTTGCGGTACGAAGTAAAGCCAGAAATAAATGTTTTGGTGGCACCCGTTAGAGGGCGCATTTGGCATACTGCATTGGCTTGTGGGAGTGCATTGTGTGAGTTGGTCAGTCTAGGCGTTGCCACGTCACAGCCAGCAGCTCGTCAAAGTGTATTTATTTTATCTCACTGCGTATCATTCTAAATGGAGGACCCGCCAGCTACCTCTGGTGTGCAGCAGCTTCTGCAGGAAAATAACGCGCAACTTTTGCAGTCGATTAACGCTTTAGTTTCGCAAAAGATGACTTCTTCTTAAGAGACGAGTTGCAATTGTCGCATGACCTGTCCACTCAAGTCCAGATGGCAGAAATAAAGAAAGTGAAATATGGCATTGTTCCTACATTCAAACGGAAGGCCAATGAAGATCAGTATAAGCAC